TTAGCTTAAGGCTTTGAGTTTACAAACAGTACTATAATTATACGGTATTTATTACTTCTGATTTCTATTGCTTCAAGCTCCAAGACACTACATCTTCGATTCAGTAACATACAAGATTCTTCTTGCCAACTAAAATGTTGGAAGTCTACCAAGATTAACGAAAATTTTATTGTTTGCTTATTTGCTTATAGTTTTTGATACCTTTTGTCTTCTAGCTTTATGGTGCTTAGTGTAAGTTAGTTTCCATATGTATCTATTGTCTATTACATGACCTTATTGTTAGTGCTTAACTATTTTTATTTGTAAAGAGTTTTAAGAACTTTAGTCTTATATTTTCACAAATCCAACCCCAATCTTTACGATTTTTCTGACCATTGGTAGACGTAGCTGTCCAAGTTCTTATGATTAGTTCGTTATTAATTTTAATAACATTATTAGATGTATTAATACCGTACACGTATTATGTATAAAATGTAATGTCTATAATGAACTCGGTTTAAATTTGTACTGCGTTTAGCATTAGGTCATACTACTTAACGTTTTTACACTAGTGATATGTGTAATAGAACAATATTCAAGGTGAATTGAATAAAATTACAATAATTAACCATGTCGTACACTTCAATTAGACAATTAACTTAGAATGGGCTGTTTTGTGCCGTAAATGAAGCTTAAAGACAACAAATGCGTCGAATTTTGTCTACTAGCACTTGCTTGCTAGAAACTTTTGTAGAATGTTAGTCACTATCGATTTCCCAAACACATTAGCCAACAAACAACACGTAACTTTTCAGAACCCACCAATCGACTAACATCAGAAACTCGGCTCAAACTACCATAGAGAGTAATACAAGTCCTACAAGTATTAATAGCCTGATGGGCAGTCAGGTGCATTACAACAGAACTAGGTTACCTTAGCTCACTAATCTCATATAACTTGTGACAAGGAAGTGTGCTGACAGCCTGACATAATGGCTTTACCTACATAATGACGTCACAAGTCCATGTATCTCATTACAGGCCGTTATGGAAGCCCAACTGATGCATAGTTATTATGAAGCGGCTTCTGTAATATGCATTTTGTTGTTATTCTGTATCTGGGCTGAGCATGTTGTAATCCTCGTGTAAATAGGTCGAAAGTTGTTCTGATCAAGCGTATTTTCGTCCACCATTTTTGGAAAATGTGTTTTGGTTGAACTTTTCGTATTAGAGCAACCGCTGTGCAATGTGCATATCGTTAATGGTAGTGTGGATTACTAGTAGTTATTAAAACTTCCTATATACAACTTGCAGTCAGTCTTAATTTGCGTGCTTTTTATGAAAATTGTCATGTAACTTAAGGTCTGCAAAAACTGATGTTATAAAGGTAGATTGTCTCTCTCTCTCTCTCCCGAAAAACATGTGATAGCTGATAGGTGGAAGTTACTATACAATGAAGATTTAAGCAAGGATCTCAAACAAACTGCATTAATTTCCGGAACAATATTCACAGCTCGGCAAAACTCTGCTGCACAAAATATTCCCACTGCAAAATCCTGATAAGCATGGCTGACGTGCTCCAAAGAGCCGAGATACTACAGTACCCACATAATGAAATATAACAAAAGCAAACTTGTGGAGTAAACGCGTATCATTTCACTTCAGACCGCGCTGAATTGAACAAAGGATCAAACTTTAGCTATGCATGTTCAAGTTTAGTCTGAGGTTTTGTTCGTACGTCCTGTCTAGTTAAATTGACGATAATAGTATGTTAACCGATACCGAGTTTCAATTTGATGAGGATCTTCAAGTCTTCGAGTAATGTCTTTTGTTGAATTCAAAGCTAGAAACTTACGCCAACGTCTTTTCTTCATAGATCTGTGCCTATTCTCATCTCTAACTTCTTATTTAGCTATTGAACTAGGGACTGTGAATTATAGGACGACAAAGGAGGCCGATATTGCTTTGTCCACTAAAGTAAGGAAAGGATGCCTAAGTCTTTGTACTGATCTTCATACAGAATTTCATAGGAAAGCACAATCATATTGGAAATGCTGTGACTGATATCTAGTGTCTACCTATATCTAATAATCCTTTCAATGATTTACGATTGTATGCCCTTGCCCACTTAGAATCAAATTGAAATTGCAGAACTATTTCGGATGAAACACATTTAAAATCAATTGATTTTTCGCAAACTGTAACTCAAGTTAACGTAACCGCCATCGTAAAGAGCCATCAGATCACCACAGATGTGGCCCTATAGGGCTGGTGCCGATACGAAGCCGCGAGGGTTGCCGGGACTCTGGTAGAGCAAGAGTAAAAGGCAATGGGGTGGTTTTAAGAGAGTCTGACACTCCGTCTCGTCTCACCCGGGCGGGAGAAGTCATTGGATGATTTTCGCCCTCAAAAAAAATTTAACTATTGGCACTTGACTGCTTTGCTTATAGCCTACACCCCATGGCAGTCAACTGCTGCACCATGGGCCTCCATTGCATCAGAGAGTATGCTGTAATCTACACGCTTGGCAGATGGGTTATGGAGATCGCAATTTGAAAGGTTCACGTTTCTCATAGAGCGGTGCTGTCTGGTCAGTCGTGTAGACCCTTAGTACTCTTACGCTACGACACTCGTAGAACGAGTAGGTAGTGGTGGAGATAAATATGTCCTTCTCTGTCGACACGACATGGCTGTGTGATGTGTCATTGTCTGGTAAAAAGATTTTTGGACAATCAAGTGTAAGTATCTTCAAAGCGAAATTCTGAACTCTTGTACATAAATGCTTCGATATAATCCACGCTTCAGTTTTAAATATTTAGGTATCAGAAGCTCAATACGTTCTTTATTTATTCAAACGAGCCTCGAATGAAGTCACCCAATGTGTACCTATAGGTCACAATAATTCAATACTTATCTAAAGCGCTTCAACAAATATTCATGCTTTTTGCGCGCATTTACTGCTGTTGGCATGGGCCCAGGTTTTCCTAAATGTTGTGTACCTATAGGCTATAGCAGATACGATCTATAGGTAACTATTTGTTCGAAGGTTACAAAGTAATTTACGCTACCTGCTGGCTTTTTATCAGATACTGTTTCATAAATATTTATTGATAGCGGTCGCGTGCTAATTCTTTGATGTCACTTTTTGTGACAAAAAGCTTTTGATCATGTTTTTTTTTCAGTTAAAGAAGGAATCGTGTATTGAGTATGGTAAAGGGTCAGATGGCACGAGTTAAATGCAATGCTAGGCGCGCGCGCGGACCAGTCCGACCAGTTGCTCGCTCCGCCCCGCGCTCCCCTCGCGAACAGCTGACAGCTCCGACAACAAAGAACATCAACCCAACCCACACAAACATAACACGCTACGTACAATCACGATACATTATTATTATTTTCAACCGTACACGCGATTGTATTGATTGAAACTATTTAGCTGCCGTAACAATTATAACATTATGAGTCGGTCATTACAAAAAACAACTCCATGTTAATGCTAATATTACTTTAATAAATCAAGGTTTTTCAATAGGCCTCCACAACGCAATCTAAGGACCTAAATGTGCTATTACTACGACACATCTACATAACAACCAGCTCAACTGCTCAAGTATTGAGTAAACAGTGTTGACCATGAAAATCAGGCCCTCCTATGTGAAAGGTGAATACATAAGACCTAACAAAGGGCAACTTTGTACTTGCCTTTCTGTTCATCCAATACACGAAGGCCCCGAGTTGTGGCACTCCGGTGAACAAGAGTCTTTTTTCAAAACAATAATGTCTACTTATTATGCTGATTTATCACGGCATCTTTGTTTAAAACACGACGGTCACTTATGTCGTAGTTTTTCACTGTCCGGTTGCTATGGTGCTGTGAATTATCACGACACTTGACTTGAGAGTTTTTTTCATTCGTTATAGTTGTCGTAAGTACTTTATGTAGTCAATGTTTACGATGTATTACGTTCTATGTGTTATTTACATCACTATTTAGAGGCCTGCGAACGTGATAATCGTTGCACTGCCTGCGCACTTTATTTGCTGCGCTTCTGCGTCAACAAAACAGTCTCTCGGCACTCAATGTCGGGCGAAATCGCCGCTGCGTTCGGTCAAGTTCGCCCTCTCATTCGTTAGCCCAGCAAACTCGCGATTTTGTCCCGCTCTCACGTTTGACACTTCGCCGGCAGGGTTGCAGCGTTTTAATTTCACAACATAGGTTTTTTCTTTGAGTACCACAGTAAATCATTATTACTAATCTTTTTCTATTATTAGTTTGCTATTACTAAAGTATTAAATATTAATTATTATTTTTATCAAGTAATTTTGTAAAGAATCTTCAATATTTCTAAGCGCCTGACACTATTACATAGCACTAAAAGTTGTAGTAGTGTTGTTTATTTTACTCAAGTACATTTTAAAAGAAAATTTCGAATAATGGACTACCATTTCCCTAACTACAGAAGAAAAATAAAACCATAAGTATTTTAATGAATGATTCAGCTTTGAGCTTTTTTCCAACTTCTTGGCTTAGAAAATTTCGTCTAAAAATTATAAATCAAATAGATTCCATTTAGATAGTACAAAATAACTTTAGGCAATAGGTATAAATAGTACTCAATATTCAATTATAATGTCTTACGATAGTTATTGTATGTACAAAGGAGCTAATATTGTCTATAACTCTATTATATGTCCTAATTTAAGGGTCATTGACCAATAGATAGGTTTAACTACTTTTTATACTTTGCTCTATCTGAATTTGAAGTTAGCGTATCAGTGAGGTTCCAACAAAGTTCGAAGCAGCAACATCTACTATTCAATAATAAAACACTTGGAAAAAAAGACCAATAGATATTGAGAGCATACTTCGGCCGAAATTAATAACGAATCACAATTCACACGGATCAATTCAAAGATTTGGGATTGATATCAGTTATTAATTCCGGCCGATAAAGAGTTTATTATCAGTATCACAAAAATTACAGATTTATTTTTAAATATCTATGATTGCAGGCGGGCAGTAGTTATGTGTTCTTCTGCCAAAACTTGGCAGCATTGCGAGGAGTCTTGCCTTTGCCAGAATTCTTCTTTGGCGCCGAATGGGTCTCACTGCCACCGCCAGTAGCTGACTCGTCATTTTCTACTTGCGATTTCAAAGTCTTCTTTATGTATTGAATCTGGAAGAATAAGATAGGTACTTTATGTTACTGAAACTTATGGTTTTTAAAATATTACATCAATACTACTAATCCCAGAAGGGGGCAGTATATAGGTGAACAAATCCAATGTACCTATTATTACTGCAGAGTGACAGAGTTAGTTATTATATCCTGGACAGAACTGTAGACTCTGAACTAAAAATTTTCGAATCACAGAATAGTAAAAACACTTTGATTAACCCCCAAATTAACCCTATAACCCCCAACCCAGAGAGCAGTCAGCCTCCTCATGTCAAATCAATTATTTTAGCTTTTACATAACATAACATCACACTTTTTATCCCTGAAGGGGTAAGCAGAGATGCACATTTACTGCACTTAATGCCACTGTACAAAGTAACATCCACTATTTATGTTATGAGTCCCATGTAATAGAGGGTGAGCCTATTGCCATATTCCGGGCACAATTCCAGACACTGTGGTACTACTAAGAATTTTTTTAAAATGCAGTAGTACTTTGCCCGACCCAGGAAGACCACTCGGCCAATGAGGTAGTCGACGATTTTAGCTTTTAGTTATGATATTAAGTTAAGGCATTTTTATAAAGACACAAACCTCTTGATCAATATTCTGTTGATGTCTAATAGCTCTTTGTTTATGATGGTTGGCTCGCTGTATATGTCTGTCTACAGAATTGAGTACAGCTTCGCAAGCGTTACACCAGTCTGCAAGAACATCAGCAATGGAAGACGCATCCTCAAGACGAGCATCTCGGCCCAATGCAACATCAACTTCTACTCTCTTACATTCCTGATCTAACTTGCCATGGATGATATCTGAAATATTAAAGGGTTTTTATAAAAGATCATTTATTTAAAAATTTGAGTTAGTATGTATAACTACATTTAAAGTAAACCAGTTTCAAGTAAAACATTAAACAGTTGAGCGATTGTTCAATAATCCCTAGTGAATAATTTAAAAATATTTCATCTTTGGATTGCTTGGGACTGAGACCTTGAGAAAGAGATTGAGAGCCAGGGTGACCAGGATTAGACATTATCTGCAAGTCATTAAAAATCTAATAAGTTTAGAATTTAAATCATTCTTTTAAATTTACTGATGTGATCAAAGACTGTTTGGTAGGCATCCTGAAGATGGCAGTTACGACACTAAAAGTTTAAATGTTTCTCATCTCTCCATGACTAGTCACAATTCTAACACCCAAATACTGAAAAGGGTACTCAATTTTAAGTTGATTTTAAGATGATCAATTTTAAGATGATGGCACAACATTTAAGTACATCAATATTTAAGTGTCACTATAGTGACAGAACTATTCTTAAGTCATTGGTAACTGCTTGGGGATATACGGGTTAAAATTGAGAGGGTGTTTCAGTATTTGGGTATAAGAAATATAATATTTTATCTACGATCAATTATTTAATATGCAAAAATTATTTTACCTGCGTAAATAGCTTCTATAATAAGATCCTCCAAATCTCTCACATTTTTTATATCTAATTCCTTGAGTAACACGCTATAGGGGATACATTTCTCCTGTGTGGCCAGCGTAGCTATAGTCAAGTGTTGCAATTTCTTGCATTGAGCTGGAGTCAGTTCTAAATATTCAGACTTATTCTCCAAGTAGTCTTTGTATGTGCCATATGCAAATAGATTTAGAGTCTTCAGATGAGTGGCATATGGTCCAGTTTCCAACTGCAATGATTAATTTGTTACTGTTATATACTTCTGACTTGATTAAACATACTTAATTTCTAAAAGATGCCATGTAAATTAGTTATAATTTTGGTAATGTTTTGGTCTTACATAATAATTGCACTAAATACATTAAGAAGTATTACAAATGTTGTTTACCACATTTTTTATAGGACTACCTGCGGAACTTCTTATTTATAGCATACATTATAATATATATGTATTACAAAGATGAAAGTTAAATATAAAAAAGCTCAATCGATAAAACACTACATACAGGTAGACAATAAACAATAAGAACGTATATATAACCTCTTTGATATTCGGCATTTCAAGAAGCTCTCCAAATACGTGGACTCCTGGCGCTTCTAACACTTGTTTGATTAGCTCCGCACATGCCGATCCTTTAGCTCCTTTCGCTAACAACACAAACTGTTCCAAAGGATGGTTCGTTGAAAAAGATAACAACGAAGAAGGCTCATCTCTGTCCATTGACATCGGGTTCATGGCGACAGTTGCAAAATTATTTTCGTTTACTCAAAAGTTCTAAGTTTCTAAAACCACTTACTAAATAATATACAAAGTTTTATTATATCACTCTTTTGTTTAATAGCGAAATTAACGAATTTACAACTAGATGCGATGTCCAATTAAGATTTCAACAATTGACCATGACACAACGAAGGCGAATTTATTTTGACAGTTTATCACGATTCAAGCTTCGCGTTTTGTTGTCCAAAATGTAATTTTAGTCAACTCAGTGAAAGTAATTTCATGAAAGTTTTGGGACTATTTATACCGCTATTAAACTAACTTAAAAAATCACATATAGTTCAGAATGTATTCTATATCATATTTTCCACCTGTTTTTATTAATATAAAAGACCACTTGTTTCTGTTTTGGGAAAATAAACGTAAACCATAGATCTTTGTTTACTTTTTATTTCTTTGTTCCTTCTTTTAAAATGAAAGATATTTTTAACTAGCTATTTTTTATTCAAACATTTTTATTAGTACGCTAAATTCGTGTCTTGCAATAAGCCAAATGTAATTTTTCTAAACATTTTAATTAAAAAAGCAATACCTTTCAACATTAAATTATAAGTTTAATTGTTATCATTGCTACGTGAATGAGTTGGAGTCGAGTTTAAAACTCATAATGGACCATAAACAATAAAATGGCGTCCGGTTTTTTGTGTGTGCGATAAAATTATTGTTTTCATGAAATCTTAAGATTTATCTCAGTTTCGGCTATGTAGTGATATTTATTAGTATTTAAATAGAGATATGGTTAGTCTTAGCGTGTCTAATAAACTAAATCACTCATCGTTTGTGGCAAATAATGTGCGTGTCAGTTCTGCTCATAGCGTCGTTGTCCTATGCCGCCTTTTATATTGAGTTGATTAGACTAATTTACGAAGATTTCTTCGTGTAGACTGGTCTCAGTCAGTCAATAAAAGCATCGTTAACTATGAATTTACATAGATAGTAGGTTTTTGTCGGCATTGTGATCGATGAGTGCGTTGTGCGTTTGTAGTTGTGAAAGCGTACATACATGTTCGTAATGTTAAAACTGTCATGAGGATTCTTGTTTACTATCAAATAGCGAATTTGTGTTAGTGAATTAGTTTTATCAATTGTAATGAATTGTATTTGTTGTTAAAAATGTGTATGCCTACTCCAAACAATGTTTCGGGCTTCGGTTACTCGTGGGGCTTCACTAGTTCCGCGGACCTTACGAAGGGCGAAGTGGAAACACCGAGTAGTTTGAGCTATACCCTAGGAAATACGGTACGTATTACAATGAAATTGGACCTTATGTCATTAACTCTACAGTGACATTTGCATAGTAATTAACTTTCACAGTTCAGTAGAAATTACAATGTATTAAGTTTATGTAGTTTACTTTCTTTGGAATCTATTCGATAGCCTTCCTGTTAAATTTATGATTATCATTATTAATGTTTAATAACTGTTATGTTAATGTAAATGTTTAAAAACTATTGACATTATAATTATGATAATAAATTAACAAGTTTGCAACTAAAATACTTCCAAATTAAATGTTTTATGTAACATATAATTTACCACAGTAACTATTATCATTGGTTATGTATGATAAACTTAAATAATATGGGAATCAAGTTTAGTATAGTTGAATTAAGTTAGAATGAATCATAATTCTCATAATCTTAGTAGGTCAATGAATATTAAGTTCTAAATGATAATCATATTTACATTAAATAGATAAACTGGCTTTGATTTTACTAGTTTAAAGATAATATACTTAAATTTTAAGTACCTACTGTTATTAATAAAGTTATAATATATAAAAACATATATCTTGCATAAAACTAAAAAAATTGGAAATTGTGTTGTCCTATATGAGACAAATAAACCAATTTTTACACTTATATGCTTCTAAATAATGGTTCATAATATATAATTACATTGGTTATATTGAACTACCATTTTATTTACAATGAGGCATGAAACAAAATGAAACATCTACCTATTTTACGTTTATTACAACAATTTATAAACCAGTAAATATTTCAGTAAACAATTTTAATAAGGGTAACAATACTCCAAAACGTAGTACTTAACTTTATAACTATAACTTATAAAAACACTCAGTAGTTCAAAGCCCTTGAAAAGAATTTGGAATATCAATTGTATTTCATGTATGAATTAGGTATTTCAAAATTGTTCTATGTTATACCTATAGTTATTAAATCTTTTTTGCCCAAATTGGAAGCACTTAATTTGACTATTATATTACTAGCTACTCATAAATGTTTTACCCGGTCTACTCAGTTCTTATCGGTCATAACATGATGTTTTATAGTCTTTAGCCATCCTAGATAAATGGACATCCTAAATATTCAACACAAAAATTAATTGTTCAAAACAGATCAGTAGTTCTTGAACTTAGCACGTTTAAACAAACAAATAGCTTTAAATTTCTTTGGCTTTATATAACAGTCTAAGATTTAGCTGCTTAAAGGTACAACTTGTTTTTGAATTCTTTACAGGTGTCTCCAGAGACAACCCTAACTGTTATGTCCCATAAAACACCACAAGTCCAAGAAAAAGTTGGTGCGGTCACTGTAGCTGTGTCAAATTCAGGAGCTCAGTTGACAAGGGTGGTAACTACAGGGACGCCAGTCACTGGGAGACGTGCAATGTTTGTAGTCAACGATGCCACAACGCACACTATCAACAGAGTCTCGCAACAGAATCAGACTGCAACTATACATAGTGAGTTAATATTTTGTTTATAAATATGGAATGATAAATTACCAATGTTGCTATAAAAGTAACACAGATCTCAGTCACATTGAAGGAGTACTTCTTAAAACTGATCAGCTAACCAGAAATGGGTAGTCGCGTCCTTGACATTTTCGGTGACTTTATTTTCTCATAAGTGAGAGGCTTTATTTCAGCAGTGGATCTCTTCCAGCTGATGTTGAAGTCCTTTGTCTATCATTTTTGAAACTAAGATAACTGTGAGATAATTTAGAAAAACTCATATTGGTTTAGCTTTGTTCAAAATTCAAATCTTTGGTCACTTAACTCAAAAATAGTTAAGACTAAAATCACCACAATACTAACTTCCATACAATTTCCAAATACTTATCCTTAACTCTTTCTCCATTGCAGCCAACCTTGCTGCTAAGCCGTTTATGACACCGATAGGACCCATACAGCTAACTGCGGAAGAATGCAACGAAATTCTCATGAAGAGAGCTTTACAAGCACAAGGCATTGCAACTCCTGTGATAGATGCTTCGCAACTTAATCATACTATTTTAAATGGAGGTCTGAAGGGTCTTGCAGAGGCTACGGTACAACAAACTCAAGCGGAAACCATTCAGACAACCACAGTACATCAACATCATTTGTTGCATACCAAACAGGAGCCCGGAACTGCTAATAACTCGCCGAAAGTAAGTGACTTTTTAATCTTTTTTTTTCATAACTAGGATGGATCACAACCTTGATACTCTAGGGATGAGAAAATCAGTTTTTTAGTTTTCGAATTTTATACTACAATGAGACTTAATTATGAAACTTCGAATGAGAACCAAAGCATTGGATCATTGGGTGGCCAACTGGACCAATAGGCGACCTTAGATGATCAACTAGACCATGGGGTAACCAATTGGACTGTTACGTAACCATTTGGACCACAGGAGAACCACCTAAATTTCCAATTTCTTCAAATTTTTTAAAAGTAATCCTGTATCCTTTGGTCCTTTGTCCTTTGTCAACTGTCCACCTCAAATGCACAGATAACATAGTAACGTGTAGTTAGACGGTATATTCTCAGGCGGAACTGCTGAACACCAACTCCGTGATGACGACAGCGCCCCCTGCCGCCGTCAAGGAGAGACCCTATGGATGTGACGAGTGTGGGAAGTCATTCCTGTTGAAACATCATCTAACTACACATGCCAGAGTTCATACAGGTATGTAAAACTATAGTTTTTAGGTTTTTTATGACCTTATCCCCTCTTATAGTTTTCATTATAATTAATGAATTTTCTTAGTATGACAGTAGCATAATTGTAACGATGATTCTGTTCTTTTGGTCATGGTATCTTTGTGGTTACAAGTATGTCTATGTGTATTTAACCACACTTGATTTAGAGCGCCCTGTATAATTTAAAACCTTTTTAGTTTAACCTAGTTTGATGGTGGTTTATAGAGAACAAAGTGGCCGTCAAACCTAACTATCATACTAACATTTTCTTGATTAACTGGTCTATTTCCGTCTGTTTTTCCATTCCTTTTTTATTAATAATCACACCCAAAATAAAAGCGTAAAAGATTTTCTTGCATTCAACGCGGGCGTGAAAAAAACATTCAAAGATTTAGTATTCTATTTTTAAGGTTCTTCGACAATAGTGGTTATTTTCATACAACATACGTTCTTACCATTTAGACATACACACAATTATAATTTGCATAGACGAAAACTGTTATAAAAATGCTCTGAACGTGCTGGTATACATGATAGGCAGTTCCTTCTAAATATACTATTTAATATACATTTTGACTAATTACTGCAAACGATTTTGCACCTTAATTCAATATGGGTAAGATAATTATGTATTTTTTTCTTGACAATGGCATCTTAGGTGAACTGTAAGAAACACCAAAAATAATTCATAGTTTAAATCCTTTATTGCAATCGTGTGTATAAGTAAAATCATAACAATAGTTAATTCTAATGCTTTTAAAATAATCGATAGCATCATTAGGCCCTATTACCGGTTATAGTAGGGCATACAGATTAGGTAATTTTGAGGTCAATAATACGAGTCATAGTAGGGAATGTCAATGTAATTCTAATTTCTTAAGTGTAAATCGATTTTATTCGAATTACCACATTCGTATAGAGATGTGACTGACCCTAACTTTCCTAAGTACTGGAAATTCCACAAGAATACTTCTAGATATAGTTCTAAAACAAACTTATAAATTCGGGTGGATAAATACAAATCTATTTACCACGTCGACCGGATTTGTACTTCAGATTTGTATTTCAAAGAAACTAGAGACACTGTCCAACCGCAAACTTAAGTTGGCACAACTATATAATTATTATTAACATTTTGTCATTGAAAAAGTCACCATGAAACGGCTATTTTTCACTTTATTGACATATGTATTAGCATAATTCAATAGTACGCAGTAAAAATAGCTTTATAGAATTAATTAGACATATTTGTCTAATTAACACTAAACTGGTTATTTCTGCTAATTTATTTGAAAAGTTCGCAAGTTATAATCCATCGAATACTATACATATGAATTCATATTAATTATTTTTCCATAAGTTTCTTTTACTAAATTTTTTCGACTATAAGAACTCGAAACATAAAGAAACAAACAATCGATGCTATTTATATTAAACACTTTACTACGTAGTATAAAACAAAGTCGCTATCCGCTGTCTGTCTGTCCCTATGTATGCTTAGATCTTTAAAACTACGCAATGGATTTTGATGCGGTTTTTTTTAAATAGATAGAGGGATTCTTTAGGAAGATTTATATATATAATACATGCATATTGCACCCGTGCGAAGCCGGGGTGGGTCGCTAGCAAAAATATTGTTCACAAAACATAATTTCTAAAATCATTGCACCAAAATATTTCTGACTCATGTTCTGAGAGAATAAAAGTCTACAATGTAGGCGAATTTATAACCTGTGTTAGTAGTAATAAATGCTGATATTGCTTGCACGAAGGACTGATATTGAGCGACGACCCAATTATTTTTATGACTTAACCAATATCTATGTGAGGCTAGAGATATTTAAACTTGAATAGTGTCATATTGCTTAGATATTAGGGTTAGTTGTTACTTGATACTTTTTAGTCGTAGGTATCTAGTCTTTATACAAATTATAGTTGGAGGTGTATATTGATCTAATTCAGTTATACTTACTCCATTCGCGGAGAAACTAACGGGTTATCGGGGCTCCGGCTCGACGTGCAGGAGAAGGAACGGGGTGGTTTTTAATCAGTAAGAGTCTGACACTCCCTCCCGCCTCACCCAGGCGGGAGCAGTTATTCGATGATTTTCGCCCGTAAAAAAATGTGGGTTAGTTGTCACTTGGTACTTTTTGTCATAGGTATCTAGTCTTTATACAAATTACAGTAGGAGATGTACAATCTAATTCAGTTATACTTACTCCATTAGGTAATGGAAATTCGTCTATTTGCGCATCGATGGTAGTGAAGCTTGTTTTATTGAACCGTTGTGTGTTCTGAAGTTTGGTACTGACTAAGTTATTATATTATTATTGTTCTTTTTCTTGACAATAGGTATGTATTGAAATACATATTTTACTTTGTTCTTAAATGAAGCGTAATAAATTTTACCGGAGCAGTAATAGGCGAGCAACAACAAACATAAAGATTACTACAAACTTACTAACCAAACAAAGTAACTCGCATAACATTTTATTTCAATGACACATTTTGTTTCATGAAATCGATTAACATTGCCCCACACTAGGATTTTCTCCTGTGTCGTGGGTGCGTTTACAAACATACAAGTTCACATACACAATGACACCCAGACTCGAAACGTCAATTTGTGGATCACACAAAGTGTTGTGTCGTGCGGGAATCGAACCCGCGACACATTGCACGGCAGCCAGTTGTCCAGCCACTGCACCAACCGTGCAGTCAAACAAATTCACAAATAAATTGTACCACAATGTTTACCATTTCTGCTTCTGACATTAAAGACACGGATAAAATTATAGACCCACTAACTGTAGCTTTATACTATCACCATTACAATCAAAATGTATGATAGTATAAGTGTTAAACTACATCATCAACATTTCACTACTGAGGCGTTAGTACGAGTTTCTTTTTCGTTTAAAGTAATCGAAACGAGACGGCGTACGGCGCTCTGATTGGTTGGTTCATTGGAGCCCGCCAATCATAACACAGAACGCGTACTCGTTACGATTACTACGAAAAAGAAACTCGGCATTGGCCTGGGCTTTGCATCTATTCTGTAAACGAAGAGTTTGCCAGCCATGACCATAATCTCTACATTCCACAGATAGTTTTAATTTACAACCCAGTTCAAAACCAAAGAAATCTTCGAAAAATAATCTTGATAAATATAATAATAATAATAAATGGTAGTGTAGTATACTAGCAGTACAGTAGCGCGTAGTATACTTATTACTTTAGTGTAGTAGTGTACATAGCGCGCAGTGCACGTACCGACGCGGTCCGCTCTGTTTCAGGTGAGCGACCGCACGCGTGCGTGCACTGCGCCAAGACATTCGTGCACAAGCACTGCCTCAACACACATCTATTACTGCACTCTACTAACCGACCCTACCGCTGCCTCGAATGCAAGAAAACCTTCACGCTCAAACACCACCTCCTCACTCATACAAGGGTAATTTAATCATAATTATTAACGTAGAAATTAATTAATATTTCCTAGGTGAAAGGCCACATGTATGCGCTCACTGCGGCAAGGCGTTTGCGAGGAAGCATTGCCTGAACACACACTTACTCCTGCATTCTGCGCAGAGGCCGTATAGGTGTGACGAGTGTAAGATGGCGTTTACATTGAAACATCATCTCGTTACGCATTCTAGGGTAAGTTATTTTATTTCTATGTATGTACATTTGTCGTGAACATGAACTGTATGTATTGATCTTTTTGATCGATTCAATTGATTGAAAATGCGCAAAAATTGCGCAACAACTAACTAAAACTATTATCTAATGAAACATTCCACTCATCTTGGTAAATAAATTACAGGTCCACAGTAGAGAACGTCCGTTTGTATGCAACGAGTGCGGGCGCGGGTTTCCGTTGAAGCGCCATCTAGTAACACACAGCAAGTACCACGCGGGGGAGCGACCCTACGTCTGCAGTGACTGTGGAGAGAGCTTCGCGCAAAAGGTAAGTCTATCTGTCGGATAACAGTTAGACCGCCAGAACTTCAACAAGAAATTACAAGAAAACTTCAATAGATTTAGTAAGTGATTTAGTAATGATGATTTGAAATGTCGCATGACGTCACGGCTTAGTACACTTGTATATACTGAGCATTAGCATGACATTGTGAGCTCCCACTTCTAAAGTTTAATTTGCTTTATCTAAGTACATTTTACATCGATGAAACAAAGATTTTTGACATATTTGCCCTTAATTAATTGAAATATATGGCTTACTCACGAGCGACAGATCCTGCACATTGCTCATGAGTATGAGTCCCGCTATGACTGAAAGTAGTAGAGCTTTTCTCAATACGCGTGAATAAGCAATGTGTTTGTATCAAAATATATTTTGACTGACATAGAAAATATATTTTACTAGCGACCCGACCCGGCTTTGCACGGGTACAGTATGCATGTATTATACAAATAAACTTTCCTTAAGAATCACTCTATCTATTAAAAAAAACCGCATCAAAATCCGTTGTGTAGTTTTAGAGATCTAAGCATACATAGCGACAGACAGACGGCGGATAGCGACTTTGTTTTATACTATGTGGTGATTTTACATACCCTGTTCGTATCATCATCTCTCTCATAATAATAACAACAATAATTTTCCCTTTTCCAGGAGCACCTAGTAATGCACAGTCGTTTCCACGGCTCTCTATCTCCGTACGTGTGTCCGGACTGTGGCGTGACGTTCGCGCGCAAGTTCCAGCTCGTCAACCACGGCAGGGTCCATGGGAGGGTGCCGCACTCTTGTCCAGTCTGTGGGAAGGAGTTCTTGCAGAAACGGACGCTTGTTGGGCATATGAAGTTAGTATACAATTTGTGATTTATTAACTTCTATTTAGTTTTAATGTGTTTATATAAATTAAATTTAGTTTATATATCTATATATCTTTTCGTGGCTTGATTTGGATTCAGACTCGAAAAAGATGTGATTTTTTACTGTTAATTATCTGTTTTTTTTTTTTTTTATGGGATAAGCCGGTATACAAACCCACCTGAAATACCATAGGCGTTACGAGTGCGTTACCGGCCTTTTGGGAATTTGAGGATTGTGGGGGATTCGGGGATTGGGGAGACTTGGGAGGAGAGGTAACTAGGCTGCCGGTAATCACACGACGAAACACAACGCAAGCATTGTTTCACGTCGATTTTCTCTAAAGCCGTGGTATCGCTCCAGTCAAGCCAGCCCATTCGTGCCGAATTCTGGTTCTCCGACAGTTACCGCAAATACTTTAAAGACTTAGAAAACCTTGTAAATGAACATCATTAAAATCCCGAAAATTTTTCACATTTTATACTATTACGTATTGTTCCAGAATCCACACAGGAGAGGGCGCAGTAGCATGCCTAGATTGCGGCGAAGCCTTTAAATGCAAGTCGGAATTGCAACAACATTGCAAGATGACGCGACACTGTCTGCCCGCGCAACAACAACAACATCAACAACAACACCAACAACAACAGCAACAACAAGCCCAGCAACAAGCACAGCAACAAGCGCAACAACAGGCCCAGCAACAAGCACAACAACAAGCCCAGCAACAGGCGCAGCAACAAGCCCAGCAACAAGCGCAACAACAGCAACAGCAGCAACAACAACAGCAACAACAAACAACTGTGATAAAGCAAGATGATTTTAAACCGCAAATTGTACAGGTAACCATTATACTACTTTACCTTTTAAGTGTGGGAGAGCCATGCTTCGGCACGAATGGGACGCTCGACTGGAGCGATACCACGGCCGAGCTAAAAACTGACATGAAACAACGCTTGCATTGTTTTTCGATTTTCAATTATCCCCCTCCCTAGTCTCCCGAATTCCCGTATCCTCGACAATCCTTAAATTCCCAATTCCCAAAAGGCCGGTAACGCACTTGTATCGCCTTGGTGTTTCGGGTGTCCATGGGCGGCGCCGATTGCTTACCATCAGGTGATCCGTCTGCTCGTTTACCGGCTTATGCTTTAAAAAAAAACACTATTGTCTTATGAATTTTCTTCGACTGTATTGTTTAAAAAATAAAGATGTTCAGTAGTCATACAGTAGTCACCTATATTTGTTAATGTTTTTTTTTTGTTTATTGTAGGTTATTGGTGCAGATGGTCAAATAGTGTCGGAAAAAGCTAGTCCGGGATACGCGTGTCCAGAATGTGGGTCCTGTTTCAACACGAAGGTTTGTTTTGTGATCTTTAATACTAATTTGATACCGTATGTTATGAATAGCATTATTTGTAAACGTAAATTGTATATTAAATTATCGATTTTTTTTATATGCCAGTATGCCTACTAAATTAATTTTTACAAGTACGTCTTTGCGTATACGCCAATATTTCAGCTTCCAGATGGAGTGTTAATAATCGTAGCATAGTTAAAAGCCCAGGTGTGGCTCGCAATTGGTCGAGCACCTTCGAAATAGAACAAACATACTTTACTTTAAAATAGTTTTTTGTTTAATGTTAACAAGCTATCGTGTGTTTGATTGTTTTAAGAATATATGGTAGAAGAAATATTCAATTGAGTACAAACTAGTAAATTTCAATACTCTTTTCTAACTGTCAAAAATGATAGTTTTCTATGATTTTTGTACGAGATTGTTTATTGTGACGTCACGTTTGTTCAGCGTTAATCAGCATACTGATTTCTTAAAAAGGAGAATGGCAGGTTTGTATGGAAGTTTTGTACCGCTATAAAATTTTGTATTAGTCATTGTTTTAACCAAGTGAATAGTCTGAACGATAGATATTTTTATTATGAAGTTTAGAAAAAAATTACATATTTTTAGAACTTGGGGTTCAAAAGTTATTTCACTTTGAAAATGTGCAAAAGGTACGTTAAGGTGGTACCACACTTGACATTGCGTAGTCGCTTCATTTGTCCAAATATTTGTAGACTACGTACAAATGACGTTCAAATAGTATCTCTATATGTAATGGCGTGCAAATATATAGCAAACAAAGAAGAATAAATTCTCCAAACATGTTCTTTTTTGGTCGAACACAACAAATACGCAACGTCAAGTGTAGAGCCACCGTAAGCAAAATATCTATTACAATTTACAAATGGAGACTTTCGTTGGTAGCGGTGAAGGTTACGCACGTGCTTTTGTCGTTTTCCTACGTTTGTTGACTATTTTAGTGATCCCCCTCAGTGTGAACTGAAATCCTTTAAGTTCTGTGTTGTCGTGTTGTCTAATTAACTGTGTCCGTAAGTTTTATCTCGGTATTGGTAGTTTTAAGTAAGTTTTTCCACTTGTTTCCTCTTCCTACTTTTTATCCCCAAAATGGACGAAGAGAAGCCACCCGATCCTCCCGATAAATCGCCGGAATACGAAACTGAAACAATTCTGACCATTACCCTTCCTCCCAATACAACACCAAATTTTGAAAGAATGGACTTAGAACCCACCAACAGTCGGAAACGACATGCAGGCTCCCCTCCTATCTCCATGAATAATCCTCCAAAACTGGCGAAAAGTGTATACGGTAGACAGTGTTATACGGCCAGGGATAACCCTCCGTATGTATACTCCGTCTGTTTAGGTAGTTAACTATTTGTAAACAAACCATAAAAAGAGTTCTTCATAGTTGACATTTCCATGATTCAAAATACTTCATATGAAAATAAAATTGTTTCCCTTTTTACGACAGTTTTCTCTATTAAATGTTATGTTTCTGTTCCTTTTCACTTATTTCTTAGTAAATATTATATATATCTGCTTGAGGATATTAATTTAATAACATTTATTAAATAATATAATATTTCAATACAAAAGACACCATAAAGAGCCTAAAATCCCAGGTATCCAAAACCCTTCTTTAAGAACGAAGCAAAATAATGTTGTCAAATTAAAGAGTACAACTAAGATGTAGCGCGACAATGAAAGTAGTGTGTATTACGTTTAGTCGGTTAATCAGGCGCCATTGACAGCTCTCTCGTCGTTTGCGCTCGCGTTCCTATTTTGTTCAATTTATCTTGTTTCTTTGTTTTGTTATAAAGTTATTTAAGTTTAGGTATACATCGTTTGTAATTAATGTGTTCAAATATATTGAAGAAACTTGGCCCAAAGACACATATCCGTACAAGAAAGAAATCCGTACATCAGATTCAGAATAGTTTCTTTTTAAACATGATAATGAAATAGACCCATAGGCTAGGCTCTTGTACGATTTAGGCATTTGTGCTAGTATGTGTGTGTGTTACAATTGAACGATTTTAAAGTGAATTTAGTTTAAATTAAAACACAAGAAATATTTGAAGTAACAGAAGGTAAAGTATCTCTGTGTCACGTGGTTTCTTTTGTTTACCTTTAGTTAATTACCTAAACAGATGGACTATAGTATATGTGTCCCTTAAGGACGCTCAGACGTCTGGCACCACACTACACCCGGTTAAGTTCGGAATGTTTCTTATGAAACAAAACATTAACAATGTTAAGATTGGTGGTGTTAAACGTCTGGGAAGGAACCGAGTTTCGGTTGAGTTTGTGTCGCACCAGGATGCAAATAGTTTCTTGGTGAATAGTATGGTGGCTCAAAGCTATGTTACCTCAATCCCTCAATTCAATGTAACACGAATGGGTATTGTGAGGGACGTCCCTGTTGAATGGACAGAGGACGAAATCATTGGAAATATCAAGGTTCCCAACGGCTGTGGGGCTGTGATAAAGGCAAGGAGGATGAATCGCAGAATCACTTCGATAAACGGTACCGAATGGAAACCTACCCAAACTGTAGTGCTTACCTTTGATGGCCAAATCCTACCCAAAAAGGTATTTTGCTTTTACTCAGCACTTCCGGTAGAACTGTATGCATATCCTACCATACAATGCTATCACTGTTGTCGTTTTGGACACACCCGCACTCTCTGCCGCTCGAAGCCGCGTTGTTTCAGGTGTGGACAGGACCATCCAGGTGATGGATGCCAGACTTCAGCCGATACTGCCCATTGTATTAATTGCAATGGCAACCACTTTGCCAATGACAAAGCATGCCCTGAATTAGGACGCCAGAAGAGCATCAAAGCTTTGATGGCGGAAAAATCTATTTCGTATATGGAAGCAAGCCAGGTTTTCCCTATGGTTAAAAGGTCTTATGCTGAGGTTTCAAGGTCAGTCAACCTTATAGATTCGTCTCCTAATAAATCACCATCCCAACAAAGAGTGTCCTATAAAAAAACAGTTCATCTCAAACCTAAGTCACATGCCCCCCTTTCCCCCAGCTATGATAAGAAGGCCCATCAGGCCCTTATCCAGGACTACTCTTACTCCCCATCCAAAAATGGTTGCGCTTTCCCTATGGAATCCGGAACCAACATTCGTAGCTCCAAAAACATACTAAATATAGTTTCTGATATGCTCATGGCAGTTCTATCAAACCCTGCCCAAAATGTACCTGACCACGTGGCACACAAGCTTTCTACAATTTTAGACTATATTTGTAAAATTCCTACCTCTAACACTGCTTCAGTGGAACGTGAGGAGTACTCTTCCCAGGAAGAGTGACTTACTCCACTTAATTAACAAATTTAAACCATCGATTTGTGGCATTGCTGAGACATGGCTTCGACCGAATATTAATTTCGGGATCCCGTGTTTCAGTGTTGTCAGACATGACAGATCTGATGGTTATGGAGGTTGTGCTTTGTTAGTTAATAACAAAGTGCCCTTCACCCAGATCCCTCTACCCTTCGTTGGCGATGACATCAATGTTGTCGCTGTTAAGGCTGAGGACATAAATATATTTGTATTTTATATTGCACACCCTCATGTTAATCACATTAGGTTAATTAAAAATCTGCTATCCGTGGTAAGTGGCCCATTGCTTGTAATGGGTGACTTCAACTGCCACCATTATAGATGGGGTTCAGATATATGCGATCTAATGGGTAATGAATTAGTGGAGATGCTGGACGAGCTCGACTTGTGTGTCATTAATGATGGCAGCCCTACTCGTAGGTCTGCATTTGGTCAAAGAAACAGCTGTGTTGACTTGACCTTCTGCTCGCCTGCTATGGCTGGCATGCTAAACTGGAGTTGTTTAAATTTGTCCTATGGTAGTGACCACTATCCCATCATAATTAAAAATCCTTCAAAATCCATTCCAGATAAACCCCTTCCCCCCCTATTAAAATATCGTTTAAATTCAGCAGACTGGGATCTGTTTTCAAAACTATTAGACCACCGTATTTCTTCCCTTCCACCAGTAAATACCGAGAATGCTTTGGAGTGCTTTTCTAAATTTTCGGACCTGATAGCTTCTACAGCTGAAGACTGCTTTCCGGTGAAAAGCACACCAAAAAGCAAAATTCCTTCTCCTCCATGGTGGGATAGTGAATGCACTGCCATGATAAGAGCTAGGAATGAAGCTGAAAAGACATATAACCAAGATATGAACCTGGAAAATCTCCTAAGTTTCAAGCGAATTTTGGCTGAGTCAAGAAAATTGTTCAAAAAAAAGAAAAGACAGGGGTGGCAGAGATTTTGTGGTTCCCTAAGCCCATCCACACCAATATCCACAGTTTGGCAGAGAGTAAAAAATTTTAGGAACTCCACCAAACCTCCCTCTATCTCCACTCTACCCGAATGTCTGAATAACAATTTTCTTAATAGTATTGCCCCAACATACGTTCCTAGTGCAGATGAATGCTGCCTGAGTTCCTATGAGATCGAGAGACCCGAGATTCATGATCCACTCGATTTGGAGTTTTCATTTGAAGAGCTCCAAACTGTGCTCAATCATGTAAAGGACTCGGCACCAGGAATTGATGGGTTCCCCTACTCCTTCTTAACTAAGGCAGGAACCAAAACGAAACAGTACTACCTTGACTTAGTCAATTTTTGCTTTACGTCAGGCTATATTCCTCCTACATGGAAGGTTCAGGTTATTATGCCGCTGTTAAAACCTGGCAAAGATCCTGGTGACCATTCGTCGTACAGACCTATTGCCTTATCGTCCATACTCATTAAATCATTTGAACACCTCATCAAAAACCGACTTGAATGGTTGGTAGAAAGCCAGAGGCTGCTTCCGGCGACTCAGTTCGGCTTCAGAAAGGGTCTGGGTACGGCTGACAGTGTAGGTACTCTCACGTCAGCCATCCGACTGGCCCTTAGCAGGCAGGAGTCGTTGGTCGCGGTTTTCTTGGACATCTCAGCGGCCTATGATTCTGTCCTCT